TCATAGTTTATTGCTTAGTGACAGACACTGTATTGAAAGAAATGTTTTTACGTGCCATAACAACAAGCGGTATAGACAGCGCAAGTCACGTAGGTAGATTTCTTTATGACTTCTCTTCAATGTCTTTGGGGAAATAAAATTTAAAAAAGTTCAAATGGTTTTGTAAGTAAGCATTATCGTAACGTGAGAACGTTCGATATTTGAAGGGTAATCAACGAAAATAACTATGTTGTTCTTAAGAATTTATAAACAAACTGCTGTTATTTGCATAGTTTTCATATGCGTTTGTGTAGATATGAGTATAATATGTATCTACATTGTGTGTTGCATTTTGTATTCGTGCACACAAGGTCGTGATGCAATACGGTCAGGTGAATTGCAAGTTTATGTTGAATGCACGGCATGATTGCATTACGGAGCACGTACCTATTCTAAGTAGCAGGTGGCAAATTGTTACTAATTAACTTCTTTGTAAAAACTACGAATTTAAAATAAACAAATATTAGTTTTGAATGTTTATGAAAAACAATTGTAAATTGGATCCGATACATTTCACTCTATATGAGAAAGGATTAATTATTACATCCGAAGCAAAAGTTAATTCCTTACTAGTATATCCCCCGTGGGTGGATACTATCACTGGAAAAGTCTTTCTTTGGGAACCACTAACTAATTAAAAATGCAGTAGGTCGTCTATAGACCGATATGTTTAATTGGCCTTGAAAATTTATTAAAAGCAACTGTAAAATCCTATCCTATCTCACGGTCAAGTAAGCCCCTGATATGCGAAAGGATTATTACAACCAAAAGAAACTCTCCCCTAGTTGTTACCTTTCGTGGGAAAATTTTGCGCATTGTATAGTACCTACGTACTAGCGCACCGATCACGTGCCACGGCGCACCTAGCGACGACTTCAGTTATGTAAAGTGAGTGCGATGCTATGACGACCCACGAATGAACACTATAAATAGCGGTCGATCCGTCCTTGAGCTGTTGCGAGTGTGCTGAAGTAGGTCAAGCTAAGCTACTTCATTATAGTCTCCCTCACCTCCCCCTCTTTGCCTCCTCTATCACCCGAGTGTTCGGCACACCACTAAAATACTAAATTGATATATTCCACTCAAACATTTACTTGTTTTACCACAACAAGACGCGAGTTTTATCGTTTGTATCATCCGATATAACTAGCTTTCTATAGCGTTCGAGTCTGGTAATAACTATTACCTATTTATTGCAGAGCCTTACGTCTATGACAGTAGGTTTCCAAATGACTACTATTTTAACAAGTTCTAGTAGGTATATACCAGTGACGGTAATCAAATATCTTTATTCCATTCCCGACGTATGAAGGTACGAGTAATATATACATACACGTGGTGTAAAATAATACAATGGAATTATTACAAAACATGAATTCTTAAAGAGTGTACAAAAATATGTAGTCTACCTACTTACATGTATGTAAGAAGTTATTGTTTGTAGTCCAGTGTTAAACTTTAAATAATTTCTGTAATAAACCAATACAAACTAAAGCGTTCTGATGTAACATTGTGCATGCCTACTAGCCAGATGTTCATTCATTCAGCTGTGTGGAATCGATTATTATTTTACGCTTGGGATATGAATAGGTATGTGTTTAAAAGAGAATTTTGTGCGTACATAAGTACGGCCCTGTATTCTTACCTGAGTGAATTGATAATATCCCTTGTTGGGCAGGCAGGTAGCGAACCCGTATAATAATTGAGCCCGTGTATTCAGGATGCTCGCAAGGATATCTATATACTTGTGATACATACGTCATGTAAAAATATAAATAGATACAACTGTATTCATATTCTTATAAAATGTATAAATTTTGTTGAAATTGAGAAGTCGTTCAATGGAAGTTTTAGGTAAAATATTTGAACATTATTTGTCAATTTGGTTTGTCAACCGAGAAACAGAGAGGATATTGATTTCTGTTGTGTCAAATTTAATGTGCGATTTAGATTGTGTTTCACAAAAAACTGGCTTTAATTGTGACAAAGACAGTTATTTTAAAATTAAACTACTCCATCGATTTTGAAAAATTTCTATGGGATCAATTTGTAAGTATATCCTAAAAGAAAAAAAAAGGTTTTAAAAATCGGTTTATAACTGACGGAGTTATGCGATAACAAAAAAAAAATACAACGGTTGAAGTCGAATATATAAAATTATAAGCATTTAATATTTATTATTGTTAATAAGACTGGACGAAATTTCGAGTGAACAACTTAAAAATTGGAATCATTCTGTGACGCGAAAATGAATAGTTTTAAACGACTGGAAACCATAAAATATTAAACAGTTTTGAAAGTATGAAACAATCTCTATAAAAACAAAAGTAATTTTTTATACTTACCAAATAGAGAGTGATTAAATTGTCGCTTTCGTAGTATTGATTTTAGCAAGCAACATGTGGCTATTCTGCAATATCATGTCATGCACGACATTAGAGAATAGCCATATGTTCGTACTATTAATTCATTTGAGCTTCGTAAATAAAGAATAGAACCTAAAATTTGTACCACAGATTCGTGACACGACGTCGATTCTTTAGTAGTGTTACATATGTCTTCAAAAGTAGGGAAATAAACATTTTTAACTCAAAATTATATAATTAATTATGCAATGATTTGAATGAGTTAAAATGACTTAAAAATGACAATTCTTTTATACGTGCGCAATAATAATCGATTTTGTTTGCACTCGGCAAGATTGATTCCCGTATTAGTACAACAATATTATTAAATTACATTTATACAAGTAATATTAACTTTATCACATTTGGAGTCGCTGTTTTTTCGCAAAGCAAAATATACTTGTTATTTTTATTTGTATGTTGAAGAACAGATAGAATAAACAATATGAATTTTACCAGTCTTATAAATTGAATGAACATTAATCAATATTGTAATGCGGTATTTGTTTGCATTTCGTTATCACCAGTGGTCGAATACGCGTCTTGTTATCGGCGCGTGTGGGTGTAAAACGAGTTGAAACGACATACCTTACCGCGTAATATCACATAAGGATTCATGGGTACAAGTATTTCTGGTTTGTCATTGATGGAAACAATGTTACTTTGTATAATTATTTGAACACCTGAATAGATTGTCATGGGAAATTGTGAAATGTTGTTTTTACACATCACTGAAGGGTTAACTCGCGTAGTCATAATAATTTGATCAAATCTTATAATATTAAAAAATACTTAATCGTTTTATCGGGTTCTCGAATTGGAATATATCGAAACAGGGAAGTGATGAAGGTGTATGTTCCGCGTGTACTTTGAACGTTGCGTGACAGTTGGTAATCATAGTCTATGGAACAAAATGTGAATACGAAGCAGTGTTGTTCTAAGTATTATGAATGTCGAGTATTATCAATGCCGCGGGCGAGGAGTCGGGTGAAAGCTTTCTTCAGTTCGCCACAACCTTGTGTGTGTGTGCGTGCGTGTAATTATTTAATTTTAGTTAGTCGCTGCTACAGGGTGAACAGCGGCCGCCACCTGTCTCGCTCCTTTGTTTCGGCTTGCAAATGTCAGCCGAGGTCATCTAAATAAAGTTGGTATAGGCGTCCGAATCGGACCGCGATCGCTGTCTAGACGTTGCGTTGCATCGTCCGATCGATTGCACGAACAAGCCTCAGACGGTCATCGACCCCGCGGGCGCATCGGTGACGTTACGCTTCGGTGATGCGCCCCTCAATAACCTTACAGATATTATGGGTGCCTTCATTCCGTCTTTTGTAAACTTTACACACCTTGACGTCGCTGCTGCATTCTTCATTATAATTCCGATCGTAGGCGGTAGGTCCTACTCGGTCATAAACACTCTCTTTATCTACCTGGGCTTTTCATTTTTTCTTCTCTGTACTCGATTATTTACGGTCACAAAGACGACTCTCCTATTGAATCAACAACGCGTAATGCAATCTGTTTTAGTTGCACAAAAGCGGGCCGGTTTAGATTTTGGGATGGGTAGACGTTGTATAATAAAAAAAAAATTTCCCCGCTATTGTACGTTTGCTAAAATATTTCTATACAATTCAGTGTTACTCAAAAAAGTGAAATGTAAAGTTTTATTACCGAGTCTCGAGTTTGTATGGGTTCTGTTGTTTTCTCTCGGCATTATTGCGTCAACAGTACTCACTGTTGGTTGTACATAGCTGTTGCCGTGTATTATTTAATTTTGCACATCGTCTGACCTTGCCGGTAAGTCAAGTGCGGACTGTTACTTTGACATTGCTTTCTGATGGCGTAGACAGACAGACTGTAATTACGTGGTTCCATGCGAGTAAGAAACTTATCGGTATTGGTAGATTATACAAGATTATGCAATGAAATCAAAGTAAATTACAATCAGTTAACATTACAGGCTTCCAAAAGTCATTAAAACGGTTAGTGAGTTGAGTTAAAAATATTTCTATATTATTGTCTATTATGAAACAAATATTTTTAACAAGCAGCAAATATGTCCTTCACGTAATATGGAATCGTGTGTGTGTGGATATCTGAAAAGTAAATATTTTTTTAAAAATGCTTTTTATTAAGTTGCGCTAAAAACAACAAACAAATTTCGACACCGAAGTCATTACTTTTTGTTTTGTCAATGCTTTTTTTAGGTTCCCAAAGTGTACACTACTATTCGACTGAGAAACAACTTATCCTGCATTGTGATTTATTTATTGATTGGCGGTCGGTGATATTTTTGAACAAATCAGTATGTAGGCAGTACCATGTGGTTAACCCACGGTGTTATAGGTGGTTATAGTTATCGCTTTCCATAAGGCGTATTCATGTTTGTTTACAAAATTACAAACTTTTAGAAGGTGATAAAAATATTTAATGAAAATAGAATGAAAAGAAAATTGTATTTAAAAATTGACAGTTGTAAGACTTCGGAATGCTCATAAAATTCATAAAACTCCTTATATACTTGTAAGGGTGGATGTTTTTAAATTTGTTTGCTACTAGGGCAACGAAGGCGTTGCAGATGGCACTATACGTGTCGCCGGGGTTCTCCCGCGCGGCGGACGCTCATTTGCGGCTCGCATTGATGTTCAAAGCAAGGAGGCACTGGGCCGCCGCCGCCGTGCATTTCAGGCGGGCACGGCTGGCCCCGCATCAGGACGCGACCTTCACACGCTTGGAGCTCAGCTTTCATGCTGCACACTTGCTCGAAGCAAAGGGACTTAGGAAACAGGCCAGGGACGCCTATGAGAGACTACTCAAAGAGCCTCAGCTTTCGTCTTCACTAAAAGCCGATGTTTGTAGGCAGTTAGGTAAGGATGGATATTTAACTTGATAAATTATGTAAGCAATGGTTCGTTGATAATGCTGAAATGATGCAGATCAAAGGATCGATTACCTAAGTTGTCAATAGTTTGTAAAAAATATAAATATAGTCTCTGTTTACATAATATAAGAATTACTTTTTTCCCGGAATCTAGCAAACTTATGATATTCTAATTTGTTTGCTTTTATTAACTATTTATATCAGTAAATTTAAGATATCCTGTCAATATCAATTTTGTTTATTTCTTGTAAATTTACTTTTTTTTATCTATCGAAATTTTACAACTCTGTTGTATTATTTACAAAGTTTCATTCCGGTCACACAATTAAGATTTTAGTTAGCTGGTTTTAAATTCACAACTATCACAACTATATCTCGTTTAAATAGTTATAAACATATATACAGACACCACATTATACTGTGATGCATTTGTATTTGAATGAATTGTGTAAAAACATACCTACACTGTTTTGCATATATTCGGCATTCAAAAAGTTTATAAATGGAGTCAACAGTCTTAAACCAGCTGCATATCGAGACACCTATTGCAAGTAGTAAATTACGTAAATAAAACAGCAATAACTCGTCTGTGGCGCCAGGGTGGCTGTATCATCGGTGCGTCTCGTTGGGCGAAACTGGGGCGCGCGCTCGCGCAGCGATATGGTGCTTGCAGCGCGCGGTCGCGGCTGAACCAGACTCGGGCGCCGGCCTGTACCTCCTAGGCAGGTGTTACGCAGCCCAGGGGAAGGTCCACGACGCCTTCATTGTTTACAGAAACTCGGTAGAGAAATCGGAGGGGAACGCGGACACATGGTGTTCTATAGGGTGAGTATTTGAACTAGTGTTTTTAATATTTATTTTTGGCCATAAAAAATTGATTTGGAAATTAACTATGTAAATGTATACTCATTCTCCTCCCCATTGATTGTCCCAAGACTCGTTAAGTACTTCGAGTGGATTTCGCTTATTACATTTAGTCTTAAATTAAAATTTACCTTACACATAGATACAAAAGTGTTTTAGGAACGTTAAGTCGGAACTGTATTTTTTGCCAGAAAAAAAAAAGTTACTTGTCGCCTGATAATAAAAAAGAAACGTAAAAGTGAATAAGGCTTTATGTACAATTCTTGGATTCTATAACAATAGGAAGTACTTATAACTTTGCATCGTAAGTCAGACGTGTTTTGTAAATAACTGTATTTTATACAAGATTATTACTTCTTGTTACTTGAAGTTACTTAGCTGTTTTTATAGTACGTAATTCCAATGGTAGGTATTTAAATTTACATTCTAGAATCATAGCTAATTATAATTTCAAAATGTGAGGTTGAGAAAAATAATAATGCGAGACTACAAGGTTAGTGTGTTCCTAAAGATAGTCATGAATGAATATTTTCTAAAAAAAAACAATAGTACCCGATGTGTGCCCTGATACACGTGTATCCGACCGACAAGTGCAACCGACCGCAACTGACATAATAAATGTATGTATGTAGTTATAGTGGGTACGTACTAACACGACTCGTTCTTGAGAAAGCGTGTATAAGTAGGTATGCCATAGAAAGAGGAACAAATTATTTTACAAGCAACCCGATCTAACTTTGCCCGTGTGTAAAATTTCATATTTTGGTAGCCATTTCAACATCGGTTGCTTTCCATAAGGCCAGTCGATTACCGGTTAGGTGAAAAATAAATACAATTTATACATATATCAAATTGACACTCATCTAAATTTTGTAACAAAAATTGTGATGCCAACTGGTTTTACTTTTCGATGCTAAAAATAAAACCTTTGTTTAATAGCATGTGACGCACCTGGTTTTATATAACTTTGTTTCGTACCTTTCTTGAAGGGTGCGTTATTTTAAAACGGTAAATACGTCAGTTCAGTGGCTTAATAAGCACTCAAATGTATTAATTACGTTAAGCTTCTACGTCATATATGGACTAAATATAAAATAAGGATAGCGTAACTACTTATCCTAAATTAATTTTATAATTATAATTGAGTTTACAAATAGAACCACACGTTATTAATTAAGCACGTCGGTGTTAGGTATATTCCCTAACATGACCAGAGTTGATAAGTGTCTCTGATTACCTTATTAAGTAGTTAGGCGTTTGTATATTTTTTTTTTTTCGGTTTATACTATAATTAAGACTGTAGTGCACAAACAAAAACCGCCTTCCAATGTGATCGATTTAAAAAAAAAAAAATACAGACCAATTTGTGTATTCTTTCAGATAAAATAATTTTTCAAATCCGATTACAATTGACGGAGTTATACAAAATAAATTATATAAAAAACATACAACCGAGAACCTCTTTCTTTTTGAAGTTGGTTAAAATAATAAAGTAGCATATAAACTAAACATTCCACAGAGTATTGTACCAGCAGCAGAATCAGCCTATGGACGCGTTGCAAGCGTACATATGCGCTGTGCAATTGGACAAGGGTCATTCAGCCGCGTGGACGAACCTCGGCAGCTTATACGAGAGCTGCCAGATGCCCCGAGACGCGTTTGCTTGTTATACGAATGGGGGTGCAGCGGCGACCGCGGCGCACGCGGCCCTACGGCAACGACTAGCGTTCCTGAGGGCGCATCTAGTGCATGCCCCTATGCCATCTGTGACTGGGAAGTGAGTATGAAATATATTTTAATTTGCATTTCATTAACTTGCTTCATTATTATACAATATGTACAATATATATGGTCTTCTTTACTGTATAATTGTCAATGTGGAGCCTTAGATTATGAGCATCGAGCCTCAAAAATAGTCAGCTAATTGTAAAATTAGCTGTTTGACAATGTAGCTTGTAAGACAAAATAAATATAGAAGTTATAAAGGAATTACTCATAACTATTTATCACGCAAAATTGTATGAAAAAGTTGACCTTTGTTCTTCTTGAAGCATTTCTTTGAAAACTCTCTATGTAATCTAAGTGTGAAACAAATTGATTAGTGGTTTGTTATGAAGTTAATTTGTTTTTGAATTAAGAGATGGCGCTTATGTTAAGTTTCAGTAAGTCTTAATAAAAACGCATGAAAGACAATGTCTTTATATGTATTAAGTTCATAACAATCATAATGAGCATCTTTAAGTAAATATTCATGTTTCATATTTCCTGTATGACTTATGTAAAAAAAACTGCTTTACATTTTCGGCTTGTCATAATGATATAATTATAATAATACGGTCATTTATTATTTAAATAATTTAAAAAAATATATATGTTTTTATATTTTATTAATTTCAAAGTTAAAATAAGTTCGTACGTAGATATCGTAGCCGATTCTCTACCAATTGCGATGTTTCAATTATTAATTCATAGTACTGGAAAGTCTTAGAGCATATTAGTTTTTAAGTTAGTTTTTTTAATATCTGATTTGTTTGACAATTCGAATGTTGACTTACAGACGTCGTCAGCTGCCATCTATCGAGGAGGCGTGGAACCTGCCGATATCGGCGGAGATGTCGTCCCGCGCGCCCAAGTCGGCGCCGCCGCCGTACCCCGGCAAACGCGAAGACCCGCCGCCTCTGACGCCGCAGCAGCTGCAAACACTACAGAACCTGCAGCGCAACGCACATAATCTCTTACCACAGCAACAAGTAAACACATCAACATCCTCATTACCTCGTCGACGTAGATGGAGGAATCGATAAAATTTTTTTAGTTTCGATATATTCACAATTTTCCAATTTTTTTGTTGCAATTAATTATTAAAGTAATTATATTTTCAATTTCCATTTATGTCAAATATAAAACTGAAGAAAAAAAAAATGGTAAATCGCCTTTATCTCCAAACTGTATAAAAAAAACTTTTTTTCATTTATGCCATCTTTCCATTATGGGGCGGAGAAAGAATAAAGTTTGAAGGGCTAAATAAGTATATCTTTCGACTTCTCAATTCGACAATTTTTTAATTACTCTTTCAGATATTACTAAAAATGCCTTTAATACATGTATTTGATTTACTATTATAAGTAATTTTATTTCTCGAATTTTATTTTCTAGGCGATTATGAAGCAGTTGCTGGCGCAATATCACATGGCTCAGGCGGCGAAGGCGCGTGCGGTTCGTAATCACTTTATCCCACTCCACTATCCTTTAAACTGGCGGCAGGTTGAGTAGGCACAACTGGATGTAAAGGAATATGCTAAAGTCTTAAATGTATTTCAGGTGACCAAAAGCGAAGGTAGTAATGCGACCGGCGGCGACAGCGCAGAGTCGTTAGCTGAAGATTTGTTGAAGCGATTCTCTGATTCGCAACCGGATATAAAGAAGGAGCCCGTTAATAGTAAGTACTGTTTTATCTTTTGATAAAGCAAATAAATAAAAAAAAAAAATGGATGTCGAATTTTTACAAATAGTTTTTATAAATAAATATTACTGACATTTTATGAGTTAAAATTTCGTAGATTAAACATAATACTTGTTTTTGCGTAAAGTTTTTATTTTTTGTTTGTTCAATATTTATTTTGACGATTTAGTAATACTTACCTTCCAATATATAGCGTAAAAAATGTTAGTTTTCATTTATAAGTGTATCTTACTAATAAATCTAAACATTTTTCCCAAATGGACATGTGGAATATGTTCCCATGGTAACGATTTCGGTTTCAACATGTACATATTATGTTATTTAAGAGAATATTCCCATTAAGTAAAACTGCAGAAGCAAATTTTTAAATGTAAACCTACAACTATAATAAACTTTAATTCAATAAAATATATTATAATATAAATTTAAAAATTTTAATATAATATTTTTTTCATAACAAAAGAGCCCGTTTTTGTATATTACAGCAACCATGAATAACCTACATATACTCGGTTATTACGTGTGTATTATGTATTTATGTATTCTTCAGTGCAATACATAATCAAGTGTTGAGGAAAACGGCACGTTCCAGATAATGCTATTGATTCTAGAAACTTTAGAAAGGACGCTATTAAAAAAAACACCAAACATTTGTGAATATTTATTTAGATTTATATTTACTATTTTTGTTTATGATTGGTATTCGATGATGGTTGATTTTCTATAGAAAAATGCTATTACTGTACTTATTTATATAAAATACTAGTTTTTATCCACAACTTGTGGCCGCGTTCGTCTTCATTCTAAATAGTACGTGCATATCAAATTTCATGACCATTGATCGAGTGGTATAGAAAATATATTGTTCATATAAGTATGGTGAGACATTCATAGTTTGTACACACTAATATGGCGTGCCAATGTTGCATTCAAGTGTGTACTAATTAATTACGACTTACCTATTGTTCCTTGTTTAACCCGACCTTCTTACCGTGGTCTACATTGCGCAAATGTCAAATATAATCGAGTATGAAAAAGGACTATTGATGATTATTGTATAAATAAATACACCATAAAATAATTAGAATATTATTTAAATTTTGTTTCAAAAAAATAAATAAATTGCAATAGTTTAAAAATATTTAGTTGCCTCTGCTTATCGAGAATTTGCTATACATTTTTTTATTTTATTTTCAAAACCTATGTCAGGCACCAGTCTTTCATAAAATTGGTCTCGCATATTTAATTGTACTTTCAGTTATTATTTTTTACTATCTTTTGTGAAGAGAAAATAAACCATTCATTCAATTTCTCCAACGAAAATGGAAACTCTCTGCAAGTAAAATGCCAAAGATATGATTTTAAATATTTATTAGAAAGTAAAAACTGCAGATATAATGTATTTTTTCACTAATGGAAGGTAAATCGATTGTATTTTTTCTCATGTTTCATGATATTGATCATTGTTTTTGTGATTGATACCGTTTATTTTACTGTAGTTCTCTACTAATTTTGTCCAGACTAAATTTTTTTCGTGAGGGCCAAAATCTCTCTTCTAAACAAAAAGGAAAATCTATTAGTTTTTGGAATGTGCATGTGAGTTTGTTTGTTTGTTACCTCTTGGCTTTTAAAGGCCATCTTTATTTGAATTTTGGCATGGAGATGTAATCAGGCAACTTTATATCATTTTATAATTATTAAAATCGGGTAGGGTATAAGATCAATAATAGCAAGTACTTGAAAAACAGTATTCTTACATCCACTGAAATATAAATAATGTATTGTTTTTTATTACCAGCGGACAGAATAATAAGAATTCCGATAAATATTTCATGAATAAAATTCTATTTCTCGTAAGTATATAACCTTACATTTGTTTCCATCGATAAAATTACGGAAAATTTATGTCAATTTGACGTAATGTAGAATTCATGTGAGGCAAATCTAGGTGAATATTTGCGGAGCGAAGTAACAATGATGCGGGATATATGTTAGTGAAAATTTTTGATGATTTAATATAAAAAAGCAAATAGCTGCATAGAGATTTAATATTTTCTAAAAAATATTTATTTACTTCATTCTTATGAAACTTTCTATTAATATTTACATAGTTTAGATTTAAATTCATTATCATATTGGTTACATAGGTAATTATAAATTAGTGGATTAAAAAATCTACATAAAACCCCTATCTAGAGATTAGCGTGTAAGAAGTGTTTCAACTTTCATTTTGCGCATTTTGTAAACGTAATCAGAATACGCCGTGACGGTTTTTGTACAAAACATAATCTGTAAATCTATTTTTTTTTGTTTTTTTTAAATTTTATTATCTACTAGCCATTCGCCCCGGCTTCGCACGGGTGCGATGCTGATACTAAATGGAGCCGCCGGCCCCCGTTACATTACGACATTAAGAAATTATCAATGTTTCTCTACTATATTATGCATGTATTATACATATAAACCTTCCTCTTGAATCATTCTATCTATTATAAAAAACCGCATCAAAATCCGTTGCATAGTTTTAAAGATCTAAGCAAACGTAGGGACAGACAGACGGAAATCGACTTTGTTTTAAAAGGAAATCGCCAAGTCGGTGCACCCATTGTCAAGTGATAAAATTTTTCTTAAAGGGGTACTAAGAAATTATAGTAGATCAAATAATGCTCGCTCGAGTCACCGCTATATCGCGTGACTGAAATCTTATGAGTTTTTTTTTTTTTTTTTAATTTAACCGAACTGACTAGTCTCAGGATAATTCAACTAGTGCAGTAGTAGTATAAGTAGTCACGACGAGTAGGTGCCTATTGAAGTTTACCGTACTGTCTCATTAGGATTCATGGCGTTGTTCATGAAGACCATGTCTGCGATCGTTGCCGACCTTGGTATCGCATTTTGCATATTGTACCCGTTTCCGGTATATCAAAGTATATTCTTATTTTTTTTTTAAATATGTAATGGTACCTTTATATTTATAATAAGTTTACTATTGTAATCTTTTGGAGGAAACAATAAAGAGTATATATTTATCTATTTACGAGTATCTCCGCTTGCGTTATTGGTATACGCTGGCGGGGTATCAGTGAAGGAAGTCAAGTCAGCTGGCCCGTTGTGATGAAGTCAACAGAAATTAACTACGAAGGGGAACTACGTTTATTTAACTAGAAATGGATCCGCTAGACCCTATTTACTGTTAGTAATAAAATGAGGAATATGTTATTTGAATTATATTGTTTCGTTTTAGTTGACAGCAGCAGTAATGCGAGCGGCGGCGATGGGGTACTCGGTGGTAGGCAGCCAGTCGTGAAGTTGGAGCCGCTCAAGACTGATCCACTCAAACCTGTAACGTTCCACATCGGCATGACCTCTAAACAGATCTTAGACACTTGCAAGTGAGTATAAGCACTATTCGATTAAAAATTTAAATATTTACCTTAATTAATGTTTTTCTGGATGCTCTAAATATAAGCTGAAGTCTACTGCCAACAAACCGCGTTGATGTCTTCTAAACATGGAAGTTTAAAAGTTACCATGCTATGTATACTAAATAAAAGGTATTGTCTATTATTCAAATTAATATTTAGCTATGCTCGCGCGTCCCGTAATTTTATAAAACAATCTATGTTTTGTTCTCATATTAAATACGTGTGTCAAATTTAATAACGTTTATAATTTTAGTTATATAATTTTAGGTTATTTTTGCACCTGTAAGTTTTATACTTGTAATTTATCGTTAACCTATGAATTAAATACTAGTCACTATATTATATTATATACTTATTATAACTGATATATGATAATATCAATTACACTTATTTACGCGAGTAAAGTATGTTAAGGCGACTTAAGGATGTAGAAGCTGTTACGTAATGTGTTGGTTGTATTTTGCAGAGAGAATGCGGGTCCGCCGACGTCGTGGTCAGTGCTGGGCGACGGATGCGGGCCACCCACGCCGCCGCCGGTACCGCCGCCGCGCCTCTCCGCCGAGCAACTTGCGCCACCCGCGCCATTCGTCTACGTAGAGTCGAAGCGCGACGCCTTCTCGCCGCAACTACAGGACTTCTGCCTCAAGCACCCGATAGCGGTCGTCCGCGGCCTCACCGCCGCGCTCAAGCTCGATCTCGGTCTCTTCTCCACAAAGACCCTGGTGGAGGCGTGGCCCGACCACGCGGTGGAGGTGCGCACCCAGCTGATGCAGTCCGCCGATGAGAACTGGGACCCGACGGGGCGGCGGCGCGTGTGGGCGTGCGCGTCGCACCGCTCGCACACGACGGTGCGCAAGTACGCGCAGTACCAGGCCGGCTCCTTCCAGGACTCGCTGCGGGAGGAGCGCGAGCGCGGCGCCGCGCCGCCGCACTCGGCCGGCGCGCTGTCCGACTCCGACGGCCGCGAGTCCGGCTCGGGGCCCGCCAAGCGCCGCCGCGGCGCCGCATGCTGCGCTTCGGCACCAACGTCGACCTGTCCGACGAGCGCAAGTGGCGGCCGCAGCTCACGGAGCTGCAGAAGTTGCCGGCGTTCGCGCGTGTCGCCTCTGCCGCGAATATGCTCACGCATGTCGGTCACGTTATCTTGGGCATGAATACTGTCCAGCTTTACATGAAGGTGCCGGGTAGTCGAACGCCTGGCCATCAGGAGAACAACAACTTCTGCTCCATCAACATCAACATCGGGCCCGGCGATTGCGAGTGGTTTGGCGTTCCGGACGCGTACTGGGGCGGCGTACGTGAGCTGTGCGAGCGGCACGGGCTCTCGTACCTGCACGGGTCGTGGTGGCCCGACCCCGAGGAGCTGCGCGCCCACGGCGTGCCCGTGTACCGGTTCACGCAGCGGCCCGGCGACCTCGTGTGGGTGAACGCCGGCTGTGTCCATTGGGTGCAGGCGACCGGCTGGTGCAACAACATAGCGTGGAACGTGGGGCCGCTGACCGCGCGGCAGTACACGCTCGCTCTCGAGAGGTACGAGTGGAACAAGGTACAGAACTTCAAGTCGATCGTGCCAATGGTGCACCTGACGTGGAACTTGGCGCGTAACATCCGCGTGTCGGACCCGCGGCTGCACCGTGCGATGCGCACGTGTCTGCTGCAAACGCTGCGCGCGGCGGCCGGTACGCTAGCGGCCGTGCGTGCGCGCAACCTGGCCGTGCGCTTCCATGGCCGCGCCAAGGGTGAGGCGTCGCACTACTGTGGCGTGTGCGAGCGCGAGGTGTGGCACGCGCTGCTGGTGCGCGAGCATGAGCGTCGCCACGTGGTGCACTGCCTGGCGTGCGCGCGCCGCGCCAGTCCCGCGCTTCAGGGCTTCCTCTGCCTCGAGGAGCACCACGTCGACGAGTTGGCGCAGGTGTACGATGCCTTCACGCTGCACCGGCCGGCACCGCCACCGCAGTCGCTGCCGGCGCCGCCGCCGCCGCCGCCGCCTCCACCGCCGCTGCCGCTGCCCACGCCGGACTGAGCGCGTTGCGCCGCCCTCTTCCCGTGCTACCTCCGCGCCTCCCCGCGGCGGCCGTTCACTGACGGTCGTCCGCCCACGGCGTGTTTCGTCGCAGGCGACAGGGTCCGAGTGACGTCGTATGTACCTGTATTTATTTCGTGTGAGAGTGTACGATAGTTTCGAACGAGATCTATATTTTACTTAGTCGTCATTAGTTAATTATGAAAGTTTTTCTTTCGACCCAGTCGGTCGCCGTCGTTGTATATAGGTATAGACTATACGAAGCTAGATTTGTTTATTTCATTGGCACCTCACGTTCCCGATGCAGTATTAGCCGCTAGATAGTTGATCCTATTGAGTGTGTGTAGTTTTTGACCAAATTTGAAAATTGTTATCGAGTCACTACTATTTTTAATACACGAGACGCGAAGAATATTTTCGGTAATAAAATGTAATTTTAATACGAAAACTTTACAGTTTTTATACTCTTCAATCACTTTTGTAATTGTGAGAGATAATTACGTAACTAAAAGTCAATTTTTGGCATTAACTAGCCGATTAAGTAAGGACATGAAGTATTTTGCGGCGGCCTCTGGTGTGCATAGTAGTGGATTAGACGCGTAGAGCTGAGACAGGAGCAGTACAGAGTATATAATAGACGAGCCTGGCGAGATCTCCAGTGCTCAGGTGTTCACCGTGAATAAATGTGTTATTTTTGTATAGAGGCATATTTATTTATTTTATCATAATGTGACTTTAGTTTGACTTATTAGTTTGGTCCTGTAGTAAATATTAGTTTAAGAATATCGCACGGATTGAGACTCTGCGTTTTAGCAGAGTCTGGTGAACAGTGCTGTAATGTCCCAAAGAATGTAATACTTGTGTAGGCAAATCATTATTGGAGCTTTATGATTTTTCCTCAGGCCTAGTTTCTGTCACTAAAACACTTGTATACTTTAGCACAAACACTGAAATGGTAGCTTTCAGACGATTAGTACTACTTTAGTAGGATTCTAATCGCAAAACTCATATTAGAGTACTAATGTTTTAGTGCTTTGAACTGGGTCTTACTTCTCGTGTCTGTGCCTAAACATTGGGCTTTTTGGGATGTAATATTTTGAACTGACATTTAAAATTATATAATGCACTATATATATATTTAGCTTTCGTCAAAATGTGGTCATTCTGATGAATTTTTACCCAATAGATCTGAAGTAAAAGTTCGAGCATATTTTGAATAAAGCTAGATGCCCAAATGTCTTATTTCTTTAAAATTATAATTGTTATCAAAATTGTGTTCTATTGTCTGAAATGAAATGTAATTAGTCATAGAATGTTTCTTGGATTGGCGTAATATAGAAGTTGTGGCGAGTAAGCTCAGGGTTGGCAGTCGATTCACTCTTGGCAAAATTGTTTGTTATTTCTCTTGAAGTTTTATTCATGTGTTAGTGAGATTTCAATGTTAATTGTATTGCTTTCTACTATGTCAAGAGTCGAATCAGCGATGGTTGACGATGGAAATGTTGTTCAGGTTTTGTATAGTGAATGTAATTTTAAGTAATAATAACATCACTGCCATGTATGACCTTACTGATATATACTGTAACATTACAATTTTAATAAACAAATTAAGTACGCAATCTGTTTATTCTTTTTCTTCCATTGGTTACCAAAATTGAAACTATAAATGTTAGATTAAAATACCGATATTTATTTAAATATTTTATTTGAAATCACATTAATATTTTCAATACACTATAATACTTAGAAGATATATAGATTGTAGCTATATTCAGAAGTATAAATACATACTTCTAATTATTTGTGCAGATCTTTCTAATTTATTTGTATTCGAAACTCATTAATACAATAAAAAAAAAAAAAAATGGATAAAGGATGATACGCAATTAAATGTTTTTTTGATGGTAGTCAAGTGATGATGAAACATTGGAAGTAGTCTACGTCAATATTAATATTGATATTAATATCACTTTGCGTAAGTCCACAGATAGTAGTACTAAAGGCCAGCTTTAACTGTCACTTCACTAGTCTTAAATTCTATAAATTTCTCTAAAGAAACCTATTGGCCGCTATTATAATTCACAGGAGCATAAAGATATTGTACGATTTTCAAAATTATTAGGCCAATTGTGCTAAAAATATAATTCAACGCAAGGTTTAAAGAAAATTTTCTTGACATTGAACTAATTATATTTTTTTTTATACAGATATATCTTTGATAACATTTTCGCAGGAATCAATAACAAAAAGTAAAATAATAAAGAAATAGTAAGTTGTATTCCAAATATTTTTCAGTAGCATATCAATTTCTTGTTTGTTGGTATAAAAAGTACGTGCTAGGTCAATATTTTTTTCTTACATATAGGTCACGTGTACATAAATACAAATACTTGGTCTTGAAAATAAGACGGTCGATTCTAAAATGTTTAATCTGTCCGAAATAAGTACAAATTTTGAGATTAGTACCTTATTTTAGACAGTTTAAGGCAGCATTAGAGTAGAACATTTTAGAATTGTCCTCAAAATAAAGCAGTCTATAAATGTTTGTTACAGACGATAAATTTAAGGGTATCTTCGATAGATACAAAATTATAATTCAATTTATGGGGATTGCTACAATAACGTTTAAAACATCTGAAATGACACAATTTTATAATTAACCAATTATATATTTCATGCCTAAAACAGTCTTAAAAATAAATTAGGGTAATATTCATATCATAATTGTGATGTGTTTATATACATTTTAAATTTACCTACACACTAAATTCACCTATAATATTTAAGTAAGCCTGTGTAGCACCTATATTTTATTTCATTGTATAAGTTCGTGATTATAATAACATACATATTGTATCGTCTTATATTACAATATTGAAAAAGCACAGCATTGGAAATTATAATGGAATGGTGTTGTAGATGCATAGTATCAAAATAGATATTCCATAATATAAAAAAATAAGACAACTCTGAAAAAGTACTATTCGGCATTCGATTACACGATGTCAATGGCAAACTTATTATATCTTAATTTGTAATAAATAATAAGCAGTCTTCACACTAAAGTATAAATTATGGTGAAGACTAGCAGCGTATAATTGATAAAATCACATAGACTTTATGTTATTCGTGATGGCTTTGGTAAATAATTGTAAAAATAACAATGTGTTCAAAAGTAGAATAGAAAAATAGTTCAATGGAATGTGCTAAATGCAAATGCGTAATTAACAGTGACAATAATTTGCAGTACAAGTGCACTACGCACATACAGCTTTGTGCAGTTCTATAAACGTCGGTATAACATCTGATTATCATACATTGAATATTATGCGGAAGTAGTAATTGGAAAATTACCTACAAGGCATTATAAGAATGCTACGTTTATATTTTAATCACAGAGTATCCATAAGCTGTATTTCGATTTATATAGTCAATTTACAGTAACATTGGAAATGATCCTTTATAGAAACTATACAGTATGTATCTTTTCTTACATAATAAAAAGTATGTATGATATCATACATTTATCATATAGCACAGGACAGACGAGTTTTAATTTGAGATTCTCGCAACTCAGGCAACATTCAATAGGAAGTCACTTCATTATAATTACAACATTAAAAAAAAAAATTTGAAATTAGAATAGAAATTCATTCTAATTTTATATGTATGTCTAAAAACATATGCTTTCCGGTATTTTTACCAGCCAGAGAGGGGCAAACAAATTGATGGATAGATGCTTTCTTTAACGCATACATGACATAGAATAATTCTTAATCGTACGATAACGAAAACGTATATATCGATCGATCCGATTGTCGTTTGTCTAGTAGCCAGAATAAAGGATTTGATACGATATAGAGTAATAGCCGATTAAAGAATAATAATTTTTCTTTATAAATTCTCAATTCCTATTTTCCTGGTATTCATTATATGTTACGGTCTCACTAATCGCTAAGACCCGAATACTAAATCGTCACGAAGGCAAGTCTCGTAGAAAAATAACAAACGCATCCGTCAATGGAATTGTTTGTTATTTTATCTCATGGATTTTATCAGTGATAACAATTCTATTGACAGATTAGTTTGTTACTAGTCTAGGAAGCTGCTGTTAGTAAACACACTAAGAATTTTGTTGTGGTGTCGAGATCGCGACCATAAAACTTTCTTGGCATATTTCGAAGATGACTTATTCTCACGCCATTACATTCGCGATTAGTGAGACCGTTTACCGCATTAGTGTGTCTTTCGAGATTATTTTGTTTAACGCGAGGATTAGTCGATTATATCAGACGTTCATTTCGCCGGATGCCTCGACTTCCTCGCCTTGGACTTGTCTCAGGAGGCGCCCGAGCGAAGCACCGGTTTGCGGAGTAGAAGCGCAGAGTCGGCGGACACGATCGGCAGCTCGTTGGTGCAGTGGTACTTGATCAGGTGCGGGACGCTGTCAAACACCCTGTCTTTCGTTCGTACCTTGGAACAGAGTTACAAATGTATGATAATAAAGTGCCAAGCAATTACTCCAAATGTCGGCTGGGTATTTATTTCTCTTCTTGATGTATGAAATTAAGTTTGTGTTCGAAAATGCAGATAGATAAAAAAAATCTAAAATTAATCGCAAGAATTAACCCTTTCAGTGTTCAGTTCAGTTCAGTTTCATTTTTACTCATATCTAGTTAAAAATGCCAAAGAAATCTTTGTCGTGTTGATGTCATTTACCCTTGTCTCTAAAAAAACTGTATCTCTTCCAAAAATTATCCAATTTTAATATTTTTTTTATAGCAAGCAAACAGCGACTGATTTCACGAGCGCTATGACGTTCGTGGCACTTTTAGTTGCAATGCGCACGAGCGCGATGGTGCTCGTCGGCACTAAAAGGGTTAAAGGTCCTGATTTACACAGTGATTGATTTGGCAGTCACGGGTTTATCACATTACATGGTAAACAAGGATAGAAAAATCCAATCTGTTGAATCAAAAGAATAGAGACACTGAAGCCATATTTGTAGGAATTGAATTGTAAGTAATGAGTGGAGAAATTAAAAATGAGATCTAATAGACCCATTACTAGGGGGAAAGGGCTTGTTAGTATTGAGGTCTAACAACCCCATTGCTAGTGATATACCATATTATGTCGAGTTCCACGCGGTTCCCCCTGGAAATCATCGTATTTTTTTTTAATTCGTCACGATGCATCAACCGATCTGCTTCATTTTCATCTCTCACTAGTAACTTGTCAGCGGACACCGATAGCGCAGGTTACCGTTTTATTTTCATCCATTAAAAATATTAATTTAAAAATTTTATACACGGCGAGCATACAGCACTCTGCGTGTTCAATGTTTTTAGGGTGTTGTTACGGTTGCCACATTTTTGTACTGCATCCACAATGTTGGCAACTGCATCAATAGATGACTTCTATGCCATCAGACGCGAACGGATCGCACTTCTTTTACACCGACTGCATGGCAGCAGTAACAGCATACTGAGGGCATTATGTATTAAATATAATAGCCCGATCCTCTCATTGTAGGCCAATATACAATAAACAGAGGCCATAATATGTGTTTTTTTTTATTAACATAGTTTAAGTTAACGAACATGCTAAAGCTAACGAAAATGGATCATAGTTGTTTGTAATAAAAATTATTATTAAAAAAGTAGGTGCAATACGTACGACGCCGTTGGGGTCAACGAGTAGCAGGTGCTTGTGAGCACCGCGGCGGGCGCCCGTCAGCACGAACTGACCCGGCGACGCTGCACTCTCGCGTACCAGGAACTCGCCCTCCTCCACCACCAACTGACAGGACACGCACATACACATTAGTAATATTGGCTCTACAGCAGTGATTTTAATTTTTTTTATACTACTTAGAATGGCAAACAAGCTGACGGCCCACTTGATGGAAAGTGGTAACCGTCGCCTATAGACATGAGCAGTACCATGGACATAACAGAGTATACTGTTTCGCCCATGATAACCCCCATGCGTTGCCATTCCTGAGGACTCAGGTGTTATTCCTCTGTACCCAGTAAATTCACGCCATATCCCACCCTTCAAATCGAAACACAGCCATGCAAACACAACTGCTTTACGGTTGATACACGAATGGGATGATTATTATAAATGGGGATTACCCTGCTAGGGTGATCTCCTCGCGATTGCCCCTGGAATCCATTTATTTATTTATTCATTAGTACATATATGTGTACATAGCGGCCTTAATACTAAAAGCATTCTCTCCCAGTCAACCATCGTGCTCAGTTCCAAGTGAATTCATTATAATGGGCTAATTGATCTGCCTTTTTATCCTCACTGACGCCCCGCTGTTTACCGTGTGATCCCGACATAGAATAGGTTACCCCTTCCTTTCTCGTAGGTATCGTAAGTGGCGAATAAAGGAGGGCGAGGGATAGGCAGCAGTGTCCCTCTTATCGTATCTTTAAAGCCTAACTGCGGCTAGCAAACAAGACTATATTGAAGTCGTATAATAAGTATATGATTAAAAAATATATTTAAAAAAAAATAAGTACAAATAGGAAAACTGGTAGTAAATTAAATGTAAATAAAATAAATATAGAATAAGCATCCTAGACAAGATAATACATATATTAGATAGTAGACTAGACTGGAAATAAAATAGATAGTTCATATTAAGATTGTTATAATAGAATAAGTAGTTTACATGTAGAATGTAATAGTACATATGTTAGAAAAACATAATAAATAATAAAAGCCTGGAAATTAACATCCGGGACCGGCGATTTAAAAAAAAGCCTGAATACGGCTGCCAATTCGCCTGCCCGACGTGGTAACTACTGGCAGTATTCCCCTAATAGTAAACTGTCATAAGGAACAGGGCTGTTCCTTATGACAGTTTATGAATTATAATTGTGTGAGGTTTATAAGGCAAGGAAATGTAATAAAATAAATAATGAAAAAATTGCTCTTGACAAAGGAAGTTTCTCATACGATGCTTATAAGCGACGGCGAATGCCCACGCATTCGTCATTAATTCATTCTACTACGAATGAATGAATGACTAAAATCGATTAAGCGTAGAGATGGGCAATCCACCTGGGTGGGTTTAAAGTCTGGTGGGTAAAAACCGGGTGTTTTGGGTTTATTGGGTTTAAACCCCATAAACACCCAAATTTTTGGGTGTTTATGATTTTGTACTTCATCATCGTCATCTCAGCCGCAAGACGTCCACTATACTGGACATAGACAATATTATTATGCAGCCTACAGAATAAAAAACTTTTAATTTGATTTTGAGTTTATTAAGAAAGAGATGAAAGTAAAATGTAAAACTACAGTCAATCACTGTCAGATTCAGAGTTATTACAAGCGATGAATTGTATAGGTTCGATAGGCTCTATTTCGTCTAAACTGTTATGTTCATTTACTTGCTCAATGAAAGCTTCTAAGGTATTTTCTTCATTAAACTGAATGTCCTCGCATTCAGCTTTATGTTTAAGATTCCAGTTATAACAAATGAATGAAATTTTTTCAGTTCTTTCAGTTGTAAGTCGATTTCTTTTGTTATTATGTATGTAGCCTTGGATACTAAAGGAACGCTCAGTGGCTGCCGAAGTACAGGGAGCTGATAGAATACGAATCGCTACTTTGCTTAACTCAGTGGAACCACAAATACCTTTCCACCATATTAGGGGCTCAATGCTATCTAATGAGCTCCATACAAATCCTCTGGCCCAAAAGTTTTCTTTAGCTTTATAACACGCCAAATCTGCCATTACATTTGACAAACTTAAGTGTTGGCTTAAATTGTAGATAAACTCCATACCCTTAAGTTCTTCCTCTTGAGTAAGTTCGACTCCTAGAGTCCTGGGGTCTAGAATATATGCTGCAAAATGTATTGGCCTCATTGCCATATTGCATCTTGAAGATACTGATGTTAGAATCTGCTGTTTGCTTTCTTCGCTCAATGTCGAAATCTCATTTAATGCAAAACGTATCTTAGCTTGTACATCTCTAAATGTAATGTATGTGCGATGCAAACGATTCTGGTCGCTCTCTAAGTAAAATATGCTTTCAGTGACTGGTTCCAAAATACTTATACATTCCCCTGTCTTCGTCCAGAAATCATCACTTAGAATTAAATCTTTAATATCTCTTGAAATTACCACATCTTCTCTAACTGTTAATATTTGCAAAGCTATCTTATTTGCTTTCAAACTTTTTAACGAAGTAACATGACTTCCCCATCTTGTAGCACAAGGCAATTTTAGTGTTTGTGTAGAATCTTCACCCTGCCTTGATTTTATCAACAAGGAACTTAATCGTTGACTCCTTTTAACAGTTTTTATTATATTTATGGCTTGCATAATAAACACAGTTACTTCTTGTATCTTTACAATATCTTGGCACAACAAGTTAAGGATATGTGCACAGCAACCGAGAGGAACAACATGTGGATATTTGAGTTTTGTTAATTCGAATGCCTTTTGTATATTTCTAGCGTTATCGCCAATAAGTACAAGAAACTTATTTGCTCCATACACTTTCATTACTTTTTCAACTTCTTGGCTAAGGTATTCACTAGTGTGAGGATTACTTTCTGTATTCAAACTTTTAACGTATGCAGGTTGAGGTTTTGATATAAGAAAGTTTATTATTCCTTCATTTCTTAAATTAGACCAGCCATCGCACTGAAGGTGTAAGTAACTACAAGCATTTAGTTCCTCATTTAACTCAAAACGCATTTCTCTATATATTTTATCTAAGTATTTTGTCGCTAAAGCTTTACGTGAAGGTATTTTAAATTTTGGTTGCAATTTTTCGAAAAATTGTATCCATAAAGGATGTTGCACCATCGATAATGGCGTCCCTGTTACAAATATAGCTCTCGCTAATTCTGTTTTTATATGATCATCGGTGTCTTGAAACTCAGCATTTATTGTAGTGTTAGCAGACGACGAGGGGCTTATAAAAGAATCATTTGTCTCTATCTCTGACAGTCCAGACATTTTGGTTTTGGACGAGCTATCTTTTATAAGTTTCATAGAGTCTTTTAATGTTTCTGGAGATTTTGGACAAGTGATAAGATGTTGAAGCATTTTGGCAGCATTACTGAATTTGTAGACCTTATTACAAAGCTTGCAAGAAACAGACTTGTTTGGTAAAGTACGGTAGTGCTCCCATATGCGTAAATCTTTAGGTCTCCCCATTGAACCTAAAAAAATGAACGATGATTAGTTGGTCTGACGAAAATTCAATAATAGAGTGCCTATTTTTTTACAATGATTATTTCTTGTTATTTACAATAAATTTATTAAAAAAATAATAAAATAAATACAAAAAACCTTTGTAAAATTACATCTCCTCGGAGGATTAAACGCAGACGCTAGTTTATTATCGTATTGTTCTGTATTTTTCTCAGCAACTTCTTTAATTCGATTAGGTACTTACGCATATTATGTTAAAAATAAATATCTAGTACACATCTTAGGCTATCCACCATTATTATCCAATGACGACTCTCAGCTAACTATGCACTATCATCCAAAATAAACGTGTATGGAAAATTTTATCCCAGTCGGTTGAGGATTGAGGATAATTGCATCAACATACGAACATACCTACATACTTTTATTTACATAACGCAAGCTAAATAAAAGCTTGTAATAATACATCTAATTTTAAGTTAAAATTGTTAAGTGATCATGATATAATTGTATCATTCAAAAATCCACTTACCTTTAATTATTTCTTGTTAAGTATAAATATTATTTCAAATCTGCTCCCTTAATATGCACTTTTTTACTGCTTTTCCTACCTAACACGTTACCAGGAAGTCACGTTACCAGAGTCAGAGTAATAGTGAACACGTTTGACAGTGATTGTCGTCGCCTCATATTCAGCGTCGACGAATAGGGGAATCCCCAGTCATAATGTATTGCATGCGTGGCGGTCTTACTTCAAATCCATAAACAAAGAGATAATTACAGAACTCGATACTAGATGGCGCTGTTTTTGTTTGAAGAAAGTTTGCGGGCTAAAATACATAGAATTTCATCAATGACTTCCACAAAGAACAACATTTCTGTTTTTTCTAAGTTCGTATCTCTTCCGTATATTTCATAAGATATAAGCTTGGGCTACATTGTTATGCAACGTGATTTTGTCGCTGTCTTGCTAGCAGGGTTGACAGATATACGATTTAAATCGTACTCATACTATTATTTGTCTATTTTTTAATGTACGATCGTAAAGATTATGATCGTAATTCGCACAAAAACATACGACTTTTTGGTTACCTGGCAACATTTTTATTATGAAACGAACATGCTCACATCATCAGTCACATGCAACAATTTATTGGGGATTTCCCCTTCACATCTGGCAGTCCTGCTTGCTAGAATATAGGTAAGTCAGCCACAGTTACTGACGATCGATATTTAAAGGGTATTGTTTTTGTGCTAAATATTTCATAAAAACGTTATTTAATACTTTGTGGATTATTAATTTAGTTGATAATCACTGGAAGTAAAATTGATGCTAATTTGAGAGATCAAGATCTTCGTATAAAACAGTTAATAAAAGAAAATCTACGTAAGTACTCTTTTTATACCTAGGTAGGTAAGGTATAATAAACACAAAAGGTACTTAGATCGCGTGTGTTCGAAGCATTTATTCTAATAAATTTAATTTAAAATTGTAGAAAGAAAAAAATGTCTGCCAAGCCGTAGCCGAAGCCGATCTCCAAATATATTTGGCGATAGTGAGACCCAGTGTCCAGATGATTTACCCAGCGTCGTCGCAACAAAGAAAAAAACGAGGATAAAGTAAAAGAAAATTTACTGAAAGAAGAAACAAACTGTTCTAAATGCTTAATTTATGGAGAAGAGGATAAAAGAAATGAGTATTTCGGACTGTTAGTGGCTCAAGAATTTAAATATATACGGCCATGTGTGCGAACGAGGTGTTATGAAGAAATTTTAAAGTATCTACGGGAAGCAAAAGGCCAACATGTTGATCAACTGCAACATGAAAACACTGAAAATTAATTACTTTCATTTTATTATATATAGATTTTTAAAATTTCCTGAAATATTATTAGTTAACGTTTTATTTAATATTGTAGAATTGATCAATACAATTTATAAAAATAATTTATTGGTATTACTTACATATTTTCAAAAAAATACGTAAAAACCTATTTTTTTGGGTGATTATGGGAGTTTATGGGTGTTTATTGGGTTTTTACCAAAGCACCGGGTTTAAACCCGGTGCTTTGCCCATCTGTAATTAAGCGACGAGGTTATGAATTCGCCCGCTTTGTTACTATTATACCACTATATGCCCAATTCTACATTGATTACGGTAGTTTTTTTTTCAAATCGTTATCCTCATGCCCGTCTCACATTTATATTGTCAATATCACACACGCACACATCGAATATAGAATCATCTTCTGTGTTCTATATTTAAATATTTTCAATCTAATATGTCTATAAAGTGGGATAGAGCTGGCTGGAATCAGTTGCACCGACAAGAGGAAACTCTTAAATGAAAAGAGTGTCTATAAAATTTCTCCAAGGCCTAACTGTGGTTGCCAACCCGCTTGTCAAGCATGGCAAGTACTGGCAACTCCTCAATAGATGGAGGCCTATGTTCAGTAGTGGATAATTATTGGCTAATATGGTATGGTGATGATTAAAGTCATTATTTTTAACAGCAATATGTGTTTATTTTTTTAACAAGACTACATATTTTGATAATTATCGTGTATTTATGATGTGCCCATGGTGCTGTTCGTGACTATAGTTTTTATGATACTACTTAGAATTGAATAAAAAAATTACCTTCTCGGCGGCGGTTCTGGATATGGGCCCATGGTACCAGGGCTCGCGTGCCAGCAGCGCTGCCTGCGCTTGCACCGACAGCGGCTCGGCCGCCGCGGCCGCGTCGGGCGCCGCGCACGCCGCCGCTGCTGTGCTGGGGGACGCGCTCGGCGTCGACACCGCCGTCGCCGTGAACGGCTCTGTGTCATCGCGATGGATACACGAGGATTACTTTATTTATATATTATTAGTTTTTATTCGTGACTGCGTGATAGAGATGAAACAGTAATAAATAAAAAAATATATATTATTATATATATCTTACTAATATAATAAAATTGTAACAAGACTATCTGTATCGGAGAGATATTTAAGAATAAAATATATGAGAGATCTTAATAAGACTAATAGAAACCAAAATAAGTTTTAGAAATTTTGTTTATCTGTTTTTTCCGGCATCATGCAAAAATTACTGCACCAAATTGGATGCGGTTTTGCTGAAGGTCTAACTTAAAATCTGGTATATTTTATTTTGATACACCATTTATCAATTTTTTTGTTTTTTATTCTATTGAAATCCACGCGTAAGAAGTAACGGGCAAAAAGCTAGTTTATATTAATAAGGTTATACAGGGAGCAGATTTTGATGAAACTCTCAGAGCTCAATAAGAACGTGGGCGAATAATTTATAAATATCGTAGAAAGGAGCCTTAATACCGTCTCTAGGATCGATTTACAGTATATAATAATACTATCACTGAAGAATCAGATTGTAAAGTAGTAAAAAGATTTTGGTGGAACTTATATTCCCTAAAGATATTTAAGATACGGTAACAAATATATAGCTTTTTAAAATAATCAACATTTAATAAATACTGAGAAACTTATATAGCTAGAACTTGTTATATATATACCTAGTAGTATATATATATATATATCAGAAGGCACATAAATCATATTGAAACAAGAAATAGTAATAACTTACGCATATCGAAGATATCTGTGTGGTGATTAGGAAGTAGTGCTGTGGGCGGAGTGCGCGGCGGAGGTGTTTGGTTCACGTAATGGCGGACGCTTTCTTCGCAACTGTAACAAATGTGTTATTAAGAGGTTTTATATTTTAATTAATAAATAGTATATGAAAAATAAAATAATAGAAATAAATGTCGCTGTTTGCAGCAACTCAATATGTAATACCATCTATAACTGGTTTTTGCAATCTTTTTGTCAGTAAACAATAACCTTGAGTGGCCTTTACAATATTAAAAATTAGAATATGGAATACTATATTTCTCATTACAGTCAATTTAGAGTGTGAAGTACATACGAAGAGATAGGAGCAAGTGAGGCGAGCGGCGGCGGCGGAGGGTGTCTGTGTGCATGAGCGGTGGAAGCGGGTGCTGGAACTGCGGCGGTCGCAGGTGCGGGGCCTGGCTCAGGCGGCATCTTATCGGGCATATCATTGTAGTAGTCGCGGTCCTCTAGTGCAGCCACTACCGCCGCCGCCTCGCTGCCACACGACCGAGATCCATTGACATTCAATCTAAATGAAACAAAAAAAATACAAAAAATACATCTATTTAAAAGGTATATACAGAAAACAGAGAATATTAAAAGCAAAGGAAAGAAGCGACAATGGGTGGTATTCTTATCTCTTTCAAATACTTAAAGTTGGAAGAGTAATTCAGACCAATTTATTTAATTAAAAAAAAAAGGTAAATAATTGCAAAATCTAGAGTCATCCATTTTATAAACGTTGTATAAATGTGAAATGTGTTAACCCTTTCCATTTTATATTATTATGTAATAAAGTTACATTAAATATAGAAAATACAATATCTCTAGATTTTATAATGATCTGTTTTTCTAGTCTAGATTTTAATTGTGTAAGTATACTAATAGTCTCCATAAGTAAAACCAATTTTTATTAAATGGATAGAGCCACAGTGTAGCAAAACTATAAAAGTACTTCTTTTTAGCTATAAAAATAAGGAAGTAGTAGTTTTCCTGTTGCAGTTTCAATATTTGGAATTACCATTAAAATCCATAAGTTGTATGTGTGACTGATAAATTAATGAAATTTTCCTGAAAGTGATGACCTAATAATAAGGAAATGAATAAGTGAGTGTGTATCTTCAATTACTAGGTATTTCAATATTAAAAGAATAATAATGTAGCTTGTTATTACATTTAATATATTTATTATATAGGTATGTGACGAAATAAATAAAAAAATTGATTAATGAAAGAGAAGTACTTACAATGAAGGTTTAGTTAAGAACTCTTTGAAACGTAATTCAAAGGCCTGTCCTATAGTTGCTATTACATCTTGTGCCAATCTCCCTCCACATTCTAATACATAACAAGCCCTCCACTCTGTAGGAGGAGCAGACTTGGCCACATATGCCACAAAGTCAAGGGAATCTGCATCACCTCCAGAAGCAAAAGATACTCGAGGCATTTCATGTCTGGCAACAGTTTCGCCACCTTCAAGAGCTGCCAGGGTTATAGCTCTAGAAGATACTGTAAGGGCTACATTTTCCCCTGTGTGCGCCATTCGAGGTCTAGCTGCTAAAGCCCGAGCTGCTGCTTGGCTGACTCGTCTCTTTTTATCAGCAGAGCGGAGACCTGCTGCAGCACATACTCGAGCAATACACTCTCTATAAAAGGAATGACAGACATGTTATACAGAACAATCTAGTCCTAAATTAAGCTGAGTTTAAATTGCAAATTCTTTATTGTTTCTGTTCAAATCTCATACTGTTCATCTCATTCTTAAGATGAAATTGAAATATTACTTTTGGTTGCTGTTTTGGACATGGTGGTGGTATGTAAATGAACTAAATTTCAGCATGTGTTTCATTGTAGCACCCTACATATAAAAAAATATTTCAATCACATTAGATCTTATTTGTATTTGATTTAATAATAATATCACATGAAAAAAAAAAAAAACTGATTAATTTTGATACTTTAGAAATACTATCCTCATCATCATTTCAGCCATTATCTGTCTATTGCTGCATATAGGCCTCTTCATGGGAAATGAAAGGGTGGCACATTCTATGCTGAGACAACAAGAAAACACTATATTGTGTACTTATTACACAATGTTGATTTAATCTATAAAGAGAGATAAATAAACAATACTTACTTGGCAACTTGGGATCTTGTTTCAAAATCAAGTTTTTTCATTGATGTTAGCACCTCCATACATCCAATATACTGAGGAATAGATAAAAAATTGAAGAAATTAAAAACAGTTAAGTTTGAACAGTATACCAACATTATTTTATCAACATAATATTATAAGATATGACTATAGGACCAAGCAAAATTAGCTATAATAAGACAATTGAAACTTGAAATGTGACACTGTCTTCTTCTTATAAACAGAGATCCAAGTTTAATAGTCTGATGTTAATAGGTTACAGATTATTAATAAGTATAGCAATCATTTATAATACAAAATTTAAAGACTTAGCAGCAACAAATATTGAACTGTTGTAGGGTTTCTTTCAATATAAGCATGACTAACAAGTTTAAGACACATTATAATATAACAAAAATACTCAAGGCAATTTACTTTATCTGATATAGTTTAATTTTATTGTTATTATTGTTTATGTTTACCTAACTGTACTAAAATAAACATGAAGTAGACAAATATTTACTTAAGGTTTTTAAATTAACATATCTAAATATAAAATGACTATATTAAAAATGAATAATATATTATGATAATACATATTAAATATTCCATGAATACAAATAATTTTTTTTTGTACTTTTTTTTAGTGTAATATAAGTAAAAAGCACTGTAAGATGTATGAAGTACTAACTTATCATAATGTTGTAATAAGTTAGTAATTTAACTATAACTATATTAACTGATTAATAAGATGTTTTTAAAGCTATAGGTCTTATATATACAAGGTTTATAATTTGAATAGACGTCATTGGTACATCCTGTCAAGAAATGTGTACACATGTATGCACTGAATACATTGAATGTATAAATAGAGTTCATACCCTGACTGCGTACGTGATCCCGTCACTGGCAAGGACAGCATCCGGGTGCAACCAGCCTCGCGCCGGCTTAGCAACAAACGAACCACTATCCGCCATTTCAATGTAATATTGTTGAACTAACACACTAAACTGATGATATTTTTCACACTCCACCTACTTGCAGTTATTTTAAATGCACTTTCATCGTGATTCAATTCATTAACACACTGATGTCGTTTAGGATATCTTAGATAATAATGTATAAGATGAGAATAAAGAGGTGGATAATATGTAAAAATCAATCGTTTAGAAATTTATGACTAAAGTTAGTAAAAGCGTGAGAATATTTTACAAAAACAAAAACAATAAATAAGAAATATAAATCACTTGCAATATTGTTAAAGAAAACTTTTTGACTTTGACAGCACAACATAACACTGTAGCGCCCTCAGTTTCTTCACAGATCATAGAGACTACTATAGCAACCCATAGATTAAGAATAGTAGTTACAATGAATTATGCTACTATATTACTATTTCTTGGAATAATTTGATTAGTTAATGAGACCTATTTTTTTTAATAGATGATATTGGAATGATATTCCGCCTGCGTTGGCGGTATACGTTAGCGGGACACTGCTGAGGAATGATAGATGTGAATGAAAAAGACAGGCCAGTTAGCCCATCGTGATGAATACATTTGGAATTCAGCACGATGATTTCCAGGGTGAGACCACGAAGAGGTCGACCTGGTTCGGTATATTGCTAGTAACAGGGCCATTTTAGTTCAATTATTATTATATTTATCTATTATATATTAGTCTCAATTATTAACAATCCGTTTCCACTCGAGGCCAATTATTACTGAAGGGTTAGTTTGAATCTAAAGTTCGAATATAGGAAGCAGTCTTTCTAATTTGTGATAGGCATTTTTTGATGTTGGTTTTAGAATTTACAGTTACCGTTGCAGTTAGAAATATATGATGCAGAAATTAATCTGAAGTTAAAGGTTATTATTATACATTACCTTATACAGGTCGGGTGTTCCATAGAAATGCTTAGAGAAAAGCGGGTCAATTTTTGCATACCATTTTGCGTGTTAAATAGTTATGAGTGATTCCTTTATAACTTCTATATTTATTTTGTCTTATAATTTCTACGTCTTTTTAATGCGTAAACACTCATATTAATATTTTGGCGGTGTAATTGACGGTGGAACGTAATGAGCAAATAAATAAAAAAAAAAGAAATAGTAATATATATATATATATATATATATATATATATATATATATATATATATATATATATATATATATATATATATATATATATATACATATTTACAGACCTAAAACATTAAGTGTCTCTTTAGAAATGCTTTGACAATAACGGTCTAAGCCTAATTATTTTTTAATGACGCTTTCTGGTTTAAAAGGATTTTTAATGGCCATGCAATGGCCGTAATATTTATAGGTATAGGTACGCAAGTGAATGGTAAAATAAAATTCGTCATCTTACAAACCGCAATTAAAAGTTTGAACAAAAAAAAAACATTTCCATCTTATAGGTTATTTAAAATCATTATAAGTGAAATAAGATTTTGTGCACAAAATAAGGCAAATAAATTTACCTGATGTAATTTATACTTAAATCTATAATTCAGATATTATAATTATTAGGTATGATAATGATCAAAGTTATTAGAACACCATTTGGCGAAACAACGACCTTAGGCCACAGTTATTCTTGTGCTACAACATATAATTAATAAGTACTTACAACTTAGGACGCGGATTGTCCCCGATTTCATTACGCGGGTTTCATCTCGGTCAGGAAATTTGCATTTTTCGAGTGAATATTAATAAAATACGTGTCTACTTTTATCCAATGTTTATTCATACAAATTAAATTAGTGTGCCTATTTCTTAATTTGAAAAGGAATGTGACATTTGGCAATTTTAATTTTCCTTATGTAATTTATTAGCGTAGGGTCGAGGCATATTACCATTAAAAAATTAGTTTACCTATATATATATATATATATATATATATATATATATATATATATATATATATATATATATATATATATATATATATATATATATATATATATACTGACGGAGTTATAAATAAACAAAAAATATAACCAAACTGAGAATTTCTTCTTTTTGAAGTCGCTAGAAAAATACCCAACAGCAGAGTTGATTTTGAAGCACCATTATCTGTCTCTATATCTAAAATTTAAATGTTAATTCAATATTGCAGCGAAATGATTATTCTTAAGATCTAATATAAACTAAATGTTTATTATAAATTAATCAAAACTGCTTTACATTTAATTCTCTATAGTTTATAGCATAATGGTTTCGCTAAGCTATCAAATTAAAATTGTAAAATTTTAAAGATAAGTTTTGAAAGTAAAATATCAGAATCGATCCTAATATGTTTTATTATCAAGAGAGTAAGTGATTTTTTTTTAAGTTAAGAATACACACACACACACTACCTACAATATACTAACTACTAGATTTATGAATGTTTGGAATATTATATGAGATCTTTACCGGAGAGACACTTACCGGTAGACTGGCAGATAAATATTTGAATAGGTAAGTTTCGGAGGCCGCTATGAAATCTAATAGGCTTAACGGCTCGACCACCGGCCGGTGCCAGGTGAATATTTGACACTGACATTATAATATGTATATACATATATGTATCCCTAGACAAACGTAGATATCATTCAAAAGTGGAGTCCGTGGTGTGTTTGTTTCTTTTTTACCCATCACACTTAAACGGATGAATTGATTTAAATGAAATTTGGTATACAGGTACGTTATATTCTAACTTAGCACATTTGATATTTTATATACTGATTTATGTGGCTAGTGTCACGGGAAACGGCTAGTTAATATATATAATTTACAAAAAAAATCTGATGTGTCTTTTATAATTATTACCTACTATAGAATCCTTACTAGTATTATGAACAAACTTTTTACTCACTATTTCGTGCGTGTGGATTAAACAAATAAATAGATCACTTCTAGATGGCTTATTAAAATAAAATTAAGACGGATTCTAAGTTAAACCTTAAGGAATGCAACTGTAAAAACCGCATCCAATTTGATGCAAAACTTTTTGCGTGATTTCGGAAGAAACATACGGGTAGATAGACAGGAAAAAATATATATGTGAATGATTGTTTTGGTTCTATTTGTCTTATTAACACTCGTCATGGTTATCCATTCTCAGATCTTAGAACCAAGATGGGTATGCACAGTATGGTTTTAAAGGAGCTTCCTCCCACGAACACTCAGATTGTGGAACGATCTTCCGAGTCTTTCCCTAGAGACTACAGCTTGGGGTTCCTCAAAAAGGGCGTCTTAAGATTTCTTAAGCGTCTTAAGCGGCAATGCGTGCGTGACATCACTGGTGTTAAAAGCGTATATAGGCTGCGGTAACCCCGTTTACCGGGAAAATAGATTGTTAGTAATGGGGTCTAATAGCTCAATTGCTAGCATTATACCCTATTAGGTCAACCCTCACGCGGTTCCTCTTGAAAACCATCGTAGTTAATTCTTGTGGAACTCATCACGATGGGCTAACTGACCTGCTTTCATTCTAACCTATCGTCCATCACTGGTGTCCCGCCAGCATATAGCGCAGGCGGGGTTATCATTCCATTTTCATACATAAAAAGCCCGTTTACATATCAGACATGCTTGTCTGTCATCATGTAGTATAAAAAAAGAGATTTAAAATGTTTACAGGGCAAAATTTTTATGGTTAAGTCACATAGACGGAGTCTGGTGTGATTGCCAAAACTTGTAACAAGGAATTATCTATATCATACTTCTTTCTACTGATTTAATTAGATTACAGTGTGCAACATTTTTAGTAAAGATTTTTATTATTTTATGAAATTAAATTATGTTCATATATGTTTTAATTGAAGGTACATTATCACTGTGAAAAAAGTAAAATTTTATTCAGTAGGTATATGGTTGTAACAAATTATAAAAATTAAACGATGACGATAACCGAATAAAAAAATATGAAAGAAATTTTTAGTAGGGAGCAAACCTCGGAACTGACAACTTGTTGTAACTTGTTTAATCTTAAACTTTTCCATCTGTAAAATTGTTTTTGTTAATATTTGAAGAGATGTCGTATAATTTATGATTTTGGCCAAGCGAAAAAGGTCGGCGGCAACCTGTTTGTTTTTAATAACGTTACACGAGTAACAAAGTTCGGCCGTTTAGGAATTTTTCGTCCCCGCGGTGAGTAAACGTTTATTTTTATTGTCCAAATCTACCCCCGCACATTAACGTAATAGCTGCCAAGAGAATTGAGCTATGGTATATTTGTTGTTACACCGAATTTTGTTCGAGAGCTTCACTAGTATAGGTATTCGTAAAAGAATTTAGTTTGATAGTCGCGCACTTTATGAAAGTTTACATATATTTTTTTTACATTTTTATATACATTAGATACAAAAAATAGGTAAAGATTAGCACTTATACTGAGTGATAATACATAAGTATAATGAAAAGAAGTAGTAAAGAATGCTTATTTTCTCAACATTCAAGTTACATAGATAATCCGCCCTTCGCATCGGTGAAAACGCGCCCTACGTAGCGACGGCGTGTAGCGCGTAGCGTCGTAGCTAGCGATACGCGCGTGCGTCAGTCGGCCGCCGCCGCGTGTCGCTGCACCACGCCCGGCATGCGACCCGGCGCCGCCTGTTTCTCCACAAACCACACACATCACTACCGCGCGCCCCTGTAAGTACTTAAATTTAAAAAACAATTCAATTTTAGAACATTAAACCATAAACTCGGGCATAATTTTTTTTTTTTAATTCATAATCACGACAGGAAATTTCTGTTTCCGCACGTGGATCCATATTCAGCTAGCGCTCTGCCTTCCCGACGCACTAACAAATGAGCGGTTCGTTCGATAGCCCACTGCCCCTGTGAGAGGCTTCCAAGTGATCCCTTCTGAAGGGTTGTGCTGAATTCAGATTAATACGCTTTACATTGAATGTTAGGATATTCATTGCCCGTTTTTCTTTTATGTTGGGATTGGTTTTCTATATCAAGTATTTGTAATTTGGACTAAGTTTAAATGTATCGCAGTTTATTTATATATTTGTTCAGTATATTCGTAACATGTTTTATAACCACAGCACGTGTGTTCTATGTTTTTTCCAAGGCACGTAGACGAAGTAAATTGAGTTATACGTGATTTTTCTGTTGCCCCTCCGCGGATTAAGAACTTCCTTAGCCTTTCATGTTTCATCTCCTGATAAATTCAGTTATGTTACTGTACGAGATTGCTTTGATTTCTTCGAAATTAACTTAAGGGAAAGAAAGATAGCACTGTCGTTTAGATTAGTTTAGAAGGGGTAAACATTACCCTTGTTATTTTCGTGTTAAAAACTCAACCCTTTTAATGGAATGAGTGGAATTTTTGCACTCTATTTCCCTTAAGTACAAATACTTTAACCGTCAAAAATGCATTCAGGGGTGAGATAGTTTAGTCGGTACTACCTTGAATACATATTTAACAAATTTTAAAGTAGACCTTTTTATTATTAATTTATGAAATAATTATTTTGTTTTGTTACTTTTTGTCGTTTGTAAAAATATCGAATTTTTCATTTTTTTTTAGTTAAATTTTAATAAGAAAAATATCATAAATAGTAAAAAAATTGTGACGTAAAAATAACTACAATCATGATATAATCACCATAAGACCAATACGGGACTAAATGTTGTCAATTACATAAAAGAGTTTTCTAACTCGGTTTAGAATGTGTAAAAATGCATACACATAAAAATACTAACGAATTGAGAACTATGCCCCTTTTAAAAAGGTTTAAAAATAAAATAACTTGTAGACCAATTCATTTTAGATTAAACCTTGTCAAAGCTCATTTTTATTATTAAAGTGTAATGTCGTTCTTCTAAATCGAGAAATAGTGGTAAACAACACAAAGTGTAAAAAACACTACAATAACTCAAATAGGTATATTGGACGTTTGACGTTTTTATGAATAAGAGGATTAGTATATTCAAATAAAATGGAGGAAAGTCTAGAAGGGAGTAAGAGGAATAAGGTCCATAAATCCTCAAATATACAAACAGAATATATTTTGACCTATTATTAGAATAGCCTAGTTAAGTCATTTTTATTAATGAGAAAAGTTAAGCCTAGTTAAGTGTTTTTACAGAGTGATCTAATTTTAGTTTTGTGTATTGGATCTGACGCTCTATTATCCTATCCTGGCGTAACTTGTATAGACAATCTCTGATTACCTTTTACAAATTTTACATCGTTTAATACAATTAATACGGGAATTCATTTTTTATATTTTGTTTCAATAGAATTTAATGAAAATGTAAGAAATAGGTGATCCAAAAGTAAGACAATGTGTGGATGTTCAGTATCAATTTTTTATTTGTAGTACTATAAATTTTGAGATTTTGCATCACTCTGTGTGTTCTACCGTTTGTATAATGTACTGTGCTCAGAGGATTTGTTCAATATGATGCCCACGGCTACTATCTACCACCATACAACTTACCATCGATGGGAGTTCACCCCTATACCTTAGAGCCTAGATGTTTTTTTCCACAAACGCTCTGGTTATGGAATGAGCTCTCTGTCGAGGTTTTTCCAAGTGACTACAGCATGGGGTTCTTCAAAACAAACAAAAATTCCATAAAATGCCAATAATCAACATTATCAATACCGCTAAAATTTTCAGATTTAGAAACAAATGGAATCCTGCCTATGGAGACCAGAGACTTATATTATTTTTAAATATTAATTTAATAAGCTTAGAAATAGTCGTGGGTTTAAGCAACATAATGAGAGATGAGACTGCTCATTTAGCGAGTCTCGGTTCGTCACACAATCGCCGGTGTCTGGCGGCGCGCTCGAGCCATCTTTTCATTCCTTTTCGTTTTTCCACAATTCTTGCAAGTCTCAGCGAGTACACGAGCCTGAAAGCGGCTTGCAATTAGCCTGCAGACAGTCGGGTCGCTGCCGTCTTTCTTAAAGAGCGTTATTTGAATCGGCAATGTAATATGTTTGGTGCTATAGGTGTTATAAAAAGCTCAATTTTAATATCTTTTACTTTGAAAGTAAGTTATTATCAGAAAAGGAACGTATTGATGGAATTAAGTCTGATATATGTAAAATAAATATAAGAAGCAATCAAAGGGAAGCAATTTATTTTTCATATAATTTTATCCATTTAGGGCATTGTTTTTTGTTTTGGTATGAGTATTTTGATAACCTGTGCTGTGGCACCACAGAATATCAGCGCTGTAGCAATTAAATTGCTGCAGCACATGCTGAGTGGTGACCACATTGGCAATAATAAATGTAGTTTTTTTTTTTAATTCATAATTTATGTAACTTTTTGTTGATGTCAATAAATGTTTTCTTTCTTTCATTCTTTCTTTATAACGTTTATTAATTGTTAGATGTATCCTGTGGTTTCGCTCGTGGTCTATGGTGGTTGTATAACCTTATAAGTCTATAAACTTCCTCAACAAATGAGCTACCAAATGCAATTTTTTCTGCCAAATCCGATTGATAATTCTAGAAATTAGCGTGTTCAGGGAAATAAATAAACTCTTTAGTTTTATTGTCAACTGAATCCAAAAAGAAGGAGATCTTCAATTCGTTTGTATTTTTTTTTATGTTTGTTACCTCATAATTCCGTCAGTTGTAAACCGATTTGGAAAGTTTTTTTTTTTATCTAAAAGGATATATTTACAGATTGGTCTTATAGACATTTTATCAAAATCGATTCAATAGTTAAGTCTTTAAAACAAAACAACCAGTTTTGCCACAATTGAAGTCGGTTTTTTTGTGAAATATAATTTTATTATATTAATATAGATTCACACGGATTACTTTAAAGTTTATTTTTTTGAATAAGTTTAACAGTTACCCATAGATGAGATAAAATTGTGATCATGATGTGTGTATCTCTATTGATATGACTAAGATAGAACTGGAATTAATAATTCCATATTTTTGTAAGTAGGAATAGGTATTCAACCATTGCGTCACAACCTATTGTTATTCTATAGATTATAAAGAAAACATGATCCTTGATATACGATTATAACTCGCACTTGTCGGTTTTCTTTCGTATACGTAGATTATCTTTGTATTTGAAAGGCCGATACCGATTTGCGGTATCAAATATCGCTAAAACTTAGGGGTTTTATTAATAGTATATGTGAGTAGATTGATGGATAATAATACAGTTTTCCGAGATATGAACGATAGTCGTTTCATCGTCGATGCTTATGTCCCTCGGGAGCCTTGGGATGTAATAATATCCTAGAGGCAAAATACGCTGCTTTATATATATAATGGATCCGTTTAGTATAGTACCACATATACACTTTGCCTGTAGGTTTTCTCCCCTTTTGAAGTTTTTTTTTCATTTTAAAATCCTTTAAATATTGTGAATGAAAATATATGTTATTCAATTGGCTTTAAACAACTGTACGGACTTCAATAACATCTTTATTAGTATTATAATTGTAAAAGTGAGTTTTTTTGTTTCATCATCTTAGTCATTATCTGTCAACTGTTGAACATGAGCCTCTCCCATAGACTGCGATAAGGATACCTCCTGAGCCACTTGCGTCCTCTGACACGCCGCCATGCAATAGAGATCGTCACTCTATCTAGTGTTGTCCTACATTGACTATGTTCGTACGGGATCGCCACTTAATAACTTTTCTTTGAATTTTTCGTTTGTAAAATAAAGTGAGATTATTTATTTGATATTACCTATTACTTGAATGAATTAATCAATTACTCTGAAGTTTGGTATACATACATATTCTATATGGGATGGGACATATGGTAGACTATGTTTTAACCGGGTTGGTAAATATACTCTTGTCACATGGAAGAAGTCAAGGGTAGAGAAAAACACATGAAACTGTCGGATACAGAGATAATAAAATAGCCAGTTATTTGTTGTTCGTTTATAGTAGCTGAAACTTAATACGTAAAAGAAATATGATCATTTGCTACTAGGTAAGACTGTTCAGGACATTTTTTGTAAACATAAGTGATCTGACATCTAAAAATTGACCTAAGAAACTGATGGGCATCAATTTTTATTTTTAGTCTCCCCAGTCAATGTTCACGAAAATCAAACTCAGTGTTACCGACAGATTTTTCGACCCTTATGGTTTTAATATATTATTATAGTACCTAATATATAATGTTAACGATGTCACATTCTCGATTTAGGGTGAAGATAAATGTATCTATACGATTTATATGTTATATACAACAATAAGAAAATGTCATTACCATTTTTAAGTAGGCAGGAGTCCGCAGTTCTTTGTACTTCAACTTTCTTTTTTGGTTGCAAAATGCGCAGCGTCGTTTGAAATTATTATCCTTATTTACATATTTTGCTCAATTTGCGAGTTTCGTGGTTCTTAAGTGTTTGAGAAGTTTGTAATATTACAGATAATACTTATGTAAAATTCACGAGATGTTTCACATCTTCTCTTAATTAGTTAATTAATGTAAGGCTTAGGTTCGTCTGCGCAAGGGGAGCAAGAGCCATTTACCTCCGTCTAAAATGTAAAGTTGACAATAATTTATAACGGAGCTCGTTTCGAACACAGATATTTCTTTATAATAGGTAATTACTAAAGGAAACTTTCGGAATAAATGTAAATATTATATTTATTTAACAACCGCCGTATCTATGCTTTGAACCGTTTTA